CCATTGCCCTATAGCCACCCCTCAGCCCCCTGCCATTGCCCTATAGCCACCCCTCAGCCCCATAGCACCCTGCCATTGCCCTATAACCACCCTCAGCCCCTATAGCACCCTGCCATTGCCCTATAGCCACCCTGAGCCCCATAGCACTCTGCCATTGCCCTATAACCACCCTCAGCCCCTATAGCACCCTGCCATTGCCCTATAGCCACCCTGAGCCCCATAGCACTCTGCCATTGCCCTATAACCACCCTCAGCCCCTATAGCACCCTGCCATTGCCCTATAGCCACCCTGAGCCCCATAGCACTCTGCCATTGCCCTATAACCACCCTCAGCCCCTATAGCACCCTGCCATTGCCCTATAGCCACCCTGAGCCCCATAGCACTCTGCCATTGCCCTATAACCACCCTCAGCCCCTATAGCACCCTGCCATTGCCCTATAGCCACCCTGAGCCCCATAGCACTCTGCCATTGCCCTATAACCACCCTCAGCCCCTATAGCACCCTGCCATTGCCCTATAGCCACCCTGAGCCCCATAGCACTCTGCCATTGCCCTATAACCACCCTCAGCCCCTATAGCACCCTGCCATTGCCCTATAGCCACCCTGAGCCCCATAGCACTCTGCCATTGCCCTATAACCACCCTCAGCCCCTATAGCACCCTGCCATTGCCCTATAGCCACCCTGAGCCCCATAGCACTCTGCCATTGCCCTATAACCACCCTCAGCCCCTATAGCACCCTGCCATTGCCCTATAGCCACCCTGAGCCCCATAGCACTCTGCCATTGCCCTATAACCACCCTCAGCCCCTATAGCACCCTGCCATTGCCCTATAGCCACCCTGAGCCCCATAGCACTCTGCCATTGCCCTATAACCACCCTCAGCCCCTATAGCACCCTGCCATTGCCCTATAGCCACCCTGAGCCCCATAGCACTCTGCCATTGCCCTATAACCACCCTCAGCCCCTATAGCACCCTGCCATTGCCCTATAGCCACCCTGAGCCCCATAGCACTCTGCCATTGCCCTATAACCACCCTCAGCCCCTATAGCACCCTGCCATTGCCCTATAGCCACCCTGAGCCCCATAGCACTCTGCCATTGCCCTATAACCACCCTCAGCCCCTATAGCACCCTGCCATTGCCCTATAGCCACCCTGAGCCCCATAGCACTCTGCCATTGCCCTATAACCACCCTCAGCCCCTATAGCCACCCTCAGCCCCATAGCACCCTGCTATTGCCCTATAGCCACCCTCAGCCCCTATAGCCACCCTCAGCCCCTATAGTACCCTGCTGTTGCCCTATAGCCATCCCTAAGCCCCATAGCACCCTGCTATTGCCCTATAGCCACCCTCAGCCCCTATAGCCACCCTCAGCCCCTATAGTACCCTGCTGTTGCCCTATAGCCATCCCTAAGCCCCATAGCACCCTGCTATTGCCCTATAGCCACCCCTCAGCCCCATAGCACCCTGCTATTGGCCTATAGCCATCCCTCAGCCCCTATTGCTCCTGCTGCCTTATAGCCAGCCACCCCATAGCCCCTATAGCACCCTTCTTTCCTATAGCCACCCCATAGCCTCTATAGCTACTCCTCAGCCCCATAGCACCCTGTTGCCATCTTATAGCCATCCCTCTGCTCCTATAGCACCCTGATGTCATAGCACCCTTCCTTTAGTGCCCCAATCTGCCTATAGCGGCCCTGCAGCTCCTATAGCACCCTACTGCTCCACAGCCACCCCATAGTCCCTATAATGCACCACTGTCCCCCAATAAAAACCTCTTGGCTCCTATAACACCCTGCTGTCATCCTATAGCCACTCTATAGCCCCTGTAGCACCCTTTTGTCCTATAGCCATCACCTAGTCCCAATATCCACCCCACTTGTCTACTGTCGCTATCCAGTCTCTATAGCTTCCACACAACACTATTCTCTATAATATCTGTTCATCTGCCCTCCCTGTTCTGCTACCCATCCCTCTCAGCCATTTCCTCCTTCCATACCACCCACTTTCTGCAGTACTTCCCCATGAGCCATTCATCCATTCCCTGTAGGTCTTATTTTCTTCCAACCTGTCAACATTTATCTTCTGCAACAGGCAGCTGTTCCCTTGTCTCAGCCACCCTTTACCCCACATAGCTCCACCGTTCTCTCACTCTGTACATCTGGTATCTCTCTTAGGTGTCAAACACCTTTGGCCCCAATGGACGAGGCAGGTAAGGAGAGAAGATTGGTGTGAATTGAAGTGCCTGTGTTAGTAGTTTTAATTTCATCCCCTGCTCCTCTCTATCTCCCTCACTTGCTCTCCTCCACTCTCACTCACTTTTGTTGGAATTGGGGAGAGGGGTGCGGACTCTGGGCTGGGACTGAAAAGTTTGGAGTGTGTGTGGGGATCCTGGGGCAGGGATCCTGGCTCTAGGAGGGGGTTCCATCAGGGATGGGCTTTGTGGAAGGGGCAGGGACCACAATCCACTGAGTTTCCAGGATCAACCAGTCTATCACAATCAACCTGTTGGTGACTGCTGCTGTGCTAATGCACATAGCCATATAAAGTGCATGGCAGAAGATGACTGTTCCTCTTTTTTTGCAAAAAATTAATAGCAAGGTGGTGTAGTTAAGAGAATATGAATTTTCAAAAATATGCTAAAGGTTTGTTATGAGGTATTATAATCAATTAGACTCTGATTGTCATACTAACAAAGTACACTTTGTTTTTCAGTTATTTGATATGATAATTAGCAAATAAGCCTCTTAGGTCATCACCTTGCAAACATTTAGGCATGCTCTGTTATAAAGTTATAAACAGACTTGGCAAAATTCAGTATTTATTTTTTATAATGTTTTATGATTTTGATGGTTTTATAGATATTTTGTATTTATTTTTATCAATTTAAATTTTTACAGATGTAGAAATTATGGAAGGGTCAGACAGTGAGTGGATGTTGTCTTTCAAAAAGTTAAATCTTTATGCTTCTTAAAACAAATTAAGATTACATGTCAAAATATACAAACTAAATATTGTTAAAGAAAACTATTAGCAGCATGTTTATTACTTTGATTATTGTCAGTGAATATATTTTCCATCCATTTCTGCATGTTCAGGAATATTGACATTCATTGATGCATACCAATAAAAATCTAATTTTTCCAGGCTTGGTTATAAAGACTGAGAGGTAGCCATGTTAGTAACTGAAAATACTTAAAAAAACAACAAATGGTCCTGCAGCACTTTAGTGGCAACCACAAATATAGATGGTATCATAAGCTTTTGTGGGCACAACCCACTTCTTCACATGAGTGGAGCAAGAGACACAGAGGGGCACAGAAACTCTGAAGAAGAAATGGGTTGTGCCCACTAAAGCTTATGATACCATCTACAGTTTTTGGTAGTCTCTAAAGTGCTGCAAGACCATTTGTTGTTAAGCTTTTTTTCTAGTTATAAAGAGGCAGTACTCTGCTTGCATCATGCTTGGCTGTTGTTTGATAATATTTTATTACTCATTCCTAAATTGTTGCCTTTTACATTGAATAACGTAATAATGTGTTTCCTGAGAGTGAAAATATTTACGTAAAACCAATTGAATTATGTTTTTTTCTGCAGAAGTCTCTTAACTGTAGACAGTTTTTCCTGTTCAGTTGACCATATGAAGTCAAGATTTTAAAGTTGTTTGGTGGCCTGCCCAAAAATAAAAATGTAGGTTTTCCCCCCTCCCCAATTTTGGGGGATATAATCTGATTCTTAAGTAAATCAAAATTAAATATTAACTGTTATTACTACAGTGACAGTTTAAATAACATTCCTCTTCTCTGAACACTTGTACCATGGTTTAAAAGTTTTTCATAGTTAAGTTTTTCTTATTTTTAGCCTTCTGTCACTGTTGATTTAGTTGTGCCTGTGCTTTAATATCGGGTAAAATGTCACTCCACCAACTGTAAGAGAGCTGAGACTAATTTGTTATCTAAATAATAGAGCTCATACTCAAGTAAAAATTCAAAACTCTTTGGGGGCAGGAATGATTTTTTTCTTCCTGTGTTTATTGTACCCTTAGCAGTAGAGGGCCCAGATTTCTGAATGAGGCTTTTGGTTACTGCTGGAATAAAAATTAATAAATATACCCAAAGAGGAATAGATGACCAATAATGTGACTAGTGTCTCTGTAGTTTGAATTTTAAACATGATCTAATCAAACACAATAAACGCAAACTACTACTTAATTTTGGGTGCTAATTTTGGCCCTGATCCAACAAAGACCTACACACAGACTTAACTCAAAACATGGTCTCATCTGCAAGACCAGAGCCTTTGTGTATATCCATAAATACTTTTTGTTACTGGTCTTTCTACAAGCCACTAGAGAATAGTAGCTGGAAAGGCTCTATGTGCCATTCACTCAAAAATGATCTTGTCAGATTTGCCATAATATTTTTGGACATAAAAGTCAGGATTGTTTTTCATTGCTCTGATTTCCAGAATAGTGCTTCTTATCCTTTGGAGCCTCTCTAAAAGATCAAATCCAATTACAGTGAAAATTTTCTATCACAAAATATAATATACACATTATATAATATACAACATATTTTTAAGATAGGGATAATTTATGTTTATTTCTTTGATCTAGAGTTCTAGACTGACAAATTCAGGGTTGTGGTTGTTACAGTGCATGATGACAACATGAGCATCTTATTGAAATCTGCACAGTCTTCATTCATCCACCTCTGTCCTCTCTGAGCTTAATGCTATTTTGGCTGATGTAGGTTTGGCCTGTTTGTGGCTTCCTCATTTTATCATTGTGTAGTAGGTACTGACAGCTTTACTTGTCTGGATAATAATTCTACTTGTCCAAGGCTGTTAGGGCAGCCAGATTTTTCACCAAATAAATATAAATTGTTTTAGTTGATTTTACAAAACAAAGTGTCTTTATTTTTTTTTTAAAGCAATATCACTTATTGCCCAGTTTATTCTTCCTTAGACTTGACCTACTTAGTACAAAGTCTGTTTTTCATTGGTGTCTGCCTAAGGATGCGTGTATCTTAAAGGTCTTTCAAATTTACCGGGTGTTATTCATGACATAGGGATAAAGGAAATTAATTCTTATCAATATATAAAGGCAGTTTTCTTTAAAGTAATAACACATTATGGGATGTCTTTTTTTTTTATCCTCACCATCTGCTACTTTCTCCAGAATGAAACATGGCTGAAGATTCTCAGAGAAACTTCCGCTCTGTCTACTATGAAAAAGTGGGATTTCGTGGTGTTGAAGAAAAGAAATCATTGGAAATCTTACTGAAGGATGATCGGTTAGGTGAGTTGATTCTACTATTTCATGTACTTTCTGGGCATGATTTTTGGTTGTACTGAAAACTCACAACTCTAACTGAAGTCTATAATAGCTGTAGGTGCTTAGCACCTCTGATAATCAGGTCCTTTATCTTTAAACGTGTTATGTTTTTTACTGTGATATTAATAGTAACGTTGTGTAGGGAGCATCACTAGAACCATTGGGGGTATTCAAGACTTCAGTGGTACAGATAGCTTTGTAAAGGTGCATTTGAGAAGCAGTGGATATTTTATTTAAAACCTCTTGCTTATTTTTCTCTTTATGTCCAAGATACTGAAAATATTAGCGTGAAAATTATTTTTGTTCAGTAGTTGTAATTCCTACTCCTCAAGGTCACAATTCATTGCGATATAATTATTATTTCTGCTGGTCCCTGTGGTGTGCTAAGTCAGCCATAGAATAGAAAGCTAGACATGCTCTCTGCACCAAAGAGCTTAATTGTGGAGGTAGTAACACATTTTTCAAAAGTGTTTAAAATGTATTTTTTGTATGAAATCTAATTTGTCTATGATTTGGTTTTTAATCAGTCTAAGCTTTACATTTTCAGCAGACTCATTGGAGCAGTTTGCCACTTCTATCCAATTTGAAGTAAAACCAATTGGCTTTTATTGATACGTTGTCCTTTTAAAGTGCAATTTGTACATGTAGAGCTGAAACTAAAGAATTGCCCTATTTAGGTGAATCAGTGCCACAATTGACAGTGTTTCAGATGTAAAATTTTTTGAAAAATATTTATTTTCTTTACAGATATTGAGAAGCTTTGCACATTTAGTCAAAGATTTCCTCTCCCATCTATGTATCGTATCCTGGTGTGGAAGGTGCTTTTAGGTATGACACGTAAGACTGATTTTTAACTGTAGAAATAAGAATAAGCTCAATATTTGTCAGTTGTTTGGGGATAGTAAAGACACGGAATATTCTATTTTATGACCAGTTGCAAGTGATAGATATGGGTCCACTTTCTGGAAACATAAGTTTCGCACAGAGCATTTAATGAACATGTGCAAGTTAATAGTGATTTGACTTTGTTTTATCATGTTTACATATGCATTTGGAAAATTTGTATATGCAGTTTTACAGAAATAGGTAATTGAATTTTTGGAAAGTTAGTGTGGGTAAAGTTAGAGATTCAAAATAAATAGCAGACATAGGGGTTTTTCAGTATTGTCAAAAAATTAGATGTGTACATGAAACTGAATCTATGAGCAAAGTTGATTTAAACAGTTAGGGATTTGCATTGAACTGATTATTTAATAGCATATATCTATGTTTAGACTCCCTGTTGTAGTGAGATTTCCAACAAGGTTTAGCTCTGATTTTGCTTTTAATGTTGATTGATATTTGCCATTGGAGAAGAGAAGGAAACCGGGACCATAAATAGGCCACATCCTAGATTCTGTGTGGCAGGTAAGTCAAATTACTAATTCTAACAGTATTACAGTGTTTCAGAACAGCTTCTTCAGTTTATTGATTTATTAGGTGTTAGCTAACAAAGGTGGAAGTATGCAGAGCTCAAGAATAGTAATAATTCTTAGAACAATGAATGCACCACATTTCATCTTTGGGATGGTTTTCAAACATTAGTTAACCTTAAAAGAACATTGCCAGTTTGATTTTTTTTTTAAATCCTCAATTAAATTTAATATATAGAAGGAGAATGTTTGTATGTTTGTGCTCTAATAACTTGGATGCTATAAGACCTACCGCAACCAAACTTCACGGGATAACCTTTCCTCCAGGAGAAGGTTTTCAGGTACTGTGGGAGGGAAGAGATGAGAGACTGACACCTCTCCCCAGAGCTGCACGGAGCTTGGCAGTGCGGGGAGTAGCAGCTTCCCTTCCATTGCTGGAAGCATATGGAGGCCCCTCTTCAATACTGCGATTGGCTCGGGGCCCGGCAGCCAACCAGTAGGTGGGCAGATTACTGCCGGGGCTTGCTCTAGGTGGAGGGGGCGGGGCTGGTGTTACCGCTCAGCTGCCACTTTGAAAAAATGTCCAGAAGGAGGCAGGCTGGGGACCCGGATGTGAAAGCGGGGGGGGGGGGGGGGGGGGGG